CCCCGTCCGCCCGCGCCCGCCCGGCAGGCGGATTCCAATCTCGGCCGCCCGTCGCCGCCTCAGCCGTAGCCGACGCTCGCAGGCGGGGGAGGGGCGCGCGGTGCGGGCTCGGGGGTGGGGTCTCTCTGAGGGGAAGGGCGGCGCGTGCGCACTGGAAAACTCCAGTCCTGCCCCCTCCGTCCACCCCGGATACGAGGGGAGCCGAGCGTGCGACGGAAGCGCCCGAAGGACCGGCGGAGCCAGGCGCCCGGCTGCCGGGGAGGAGGACGCGTCGCCGGCAAGGGGGCGCCGGGGCGCCGGGCTGCGGTGGGACAGGGCAGCTCTGCGCGCGTCCCCAGCCCCTCCGTCGCCGTGGCGGAGCATGCCAGTTCCAGGTGCCCGGGACCCCAGACCCGCGGGCTGCGGCGCTTGGACCCTGCTCAGCCACGTTCACACACCATGGGAGCGCGGGGCAGCGGGCCTGATCGCACCAAGCCCCCCGGGTGTGGGTGGCCTGGCCGTGGTGGTAGTGTTTGCCACCAAGAAAAATGTGGCCCCACTGCATTCAAGATTCTCCACCTCTGCAGTGAGCCCGGGTCCCGCGCCCGGGCCCGGCCTGCGGGGCTGTGATCTTCGAGCCCAGCCGGCGAATAAATTCCAGAGACCTAAGATAAGGAGTGGCGGGAGAGAAGTCAGCGCGCTATAAATACAGCTCCCTCCACCTTCTGCGCCAGTGACCTCGAATACCCTCCGCGGGGAAAGGCTAATAATGGGGTCCCTGCCTCTTTTCTTTCATTCCCCGCCCGCATTCTCTGTGCAAAATGCAACTCAGAAGTATTCAGTGACCACCGATAGGTGAAGAAAGAAGAGATAGGCCTGTTAAGCAAAGATGACCTTACTAACCTCTTGGTAAGGGTTTCAGCGAGAATGGATATGGATCGTATTCCGTGGCTTCACTTTACATAAGATACGTTGTCCCTTTAAAAAGGTAAAAAGGAAAAGAATATACCAATCCCTCCTGTTTATATATACACACATTCTTGCCCCGAGATGTTTGGATGATTCCCTTATATGCATGCGGGCATAAATGTTTAAATTCTTTTATGTTCTTCAGTTGCTTTTGTGCATGTTTTATTATGTCTCCTTTTGTCTTTTACTTACCTTTGCTTTTAATGCCTCAGACACCCTCCGTAACTGCAAACCACCTCTCCTGTGTTTTCCTTACTGATCCTGTTTCTGAGCTGTTTTGCTGTCTCAGGTTTGAGTCATGAGTGATAGGGGTTTTTTTGTTGTTGTTTTTTTTGGTTGTTTTTTTTTTTTTTTTAGCTATAGTGTCTTGCTTTACAGAAAGAATATGATAGAGATTTCGTTACAACAATTAAAATCTATCACTTTCTGGAGTTTCCTATATACTACCCTCCCTTAATTTTAAAAGAAGGTGCACATTTTACTCAGAGATTGAGACTGATTGTCTAAAGATTGTATGCTGGACAATGTGACTCGGCAGAGGAATCCACTGCAGGTGGGATGTTACACTCTCCTCAGCCTAATTCGATTTTCTGACATAACGTTCAGTCTATACAATAGTCAAGAACCTTATGTTGGAACTTTAGCACATCCAGCTTCTGAAATGTAGATTGCTGCTGCCCCCCCCCCCCCCGCCTCTGTAACAAGTCCCTGAAATGGGAGCAACATTGGGACCTGGAGTGTTATTTAAGTCATGGTATCATCCATCACTACAGAAGGATCGCCTTTTCAAATCTGTGAGAATGTGACTTGGTATCTTTTTCCTTTCCTTAGAAAAACCCACCTAATTCCCAGGCTTGAATCCTTAGCATAGCACAATGGGCCGCCTACCTGCCTGCCTACCTGCCTGGGACCAAGCAGGGGCACAGGGTTCTCTCTGCCTCCTGGCATGTGTCTGCATGCCAACCTGTTTCTCCAGTTCGCCTGCCCACTAAATGAGCAGCAGCCAGTAAGCCCAAGGAGACATCTGGACACGTATGGTCTGGCCCCTAAAGTCAGAGGCAACACTTCTTCCATTTCCAAGTTCCTGTTCTGTATTCCAGTAGGTTAGCAGAGGGGCCAGACATAGCGTCAGCCCCTGCACTGTTAGGTTTAGTACAGGTCCCAAGAGAGGCAGTGGCACCTGCCTGAATCAGGAAGCACAAGTTCAGAATGGGAGGACCCTCTTCATACAGTTGTCAGCTCCTCCAGGACATCTTCCCTGGTCACCTATCTCAAGTTGACACACAACTACATTGCCTTGGTACCACGTTTTATCATCTGAAATTATCTTGTGGATTTAGTTTATTATCTGAGCCCCCCCCCCCCGCCGCCGCCTCTCTAGAATGTAAAGGCTACAAGAGCAAAGACTGTGGATCTGTTCTCAAGTGGCTTCTCAGGGCCCAGTGCCTGGGGCGCCGTAAGTGCTTGGGGATTTGTGAAAGGAGTGAGCTAAGTCAGGACAGACTTCCCAGGAGCATTGCTGGACCTGGTCCCTCAGACCCTTCCCATCTTGGAACGTGGCATGGCAGTGTGGGAAAGACTGATGAATGGCCAGGGAATCTATGGACTACATCATTCCTAGGAAAATGGGATGTCAGCCTTCAGGGATCCAAGTTCAATAGGTTGATCCAAGCTAATCCATCCCAAGTTGTTTTCCTGTTGTAAAGATTTTATGAGGCAAAGGCAGAACAGAGTCTTGTGGCTATGGAGATAAGTTGGAGCCCAGTGAGGACAAGTGAAGAGATGCCCTTGGTAGGTGATACTTTGGGTTCATTTCAAACCCAATATTAAATGGATAAAAGTAGAGCCAAGTGTGGCGGCACATGCCGGGAGGCTGAGGCAGGAAGATCACCATGAGTTTGAGGCAGCCTGGGCTACATAGTAAGATCAAGGCCAGGGTGGGCTACATGGTGAGTTCAAGGCCAGCCTGGAATACATAGTGAGACCCTGTCTCAAAGGAAACAGCTTCACTTTTTTTCCAGCACAGACAGTTCCACATCACTTACTGGTTAATGATTCTTCAACATAATTCAGCAGGACCAAAGCAAAAGAAACTGTTTATGAGAAAAATGATTGTATATAACTATAACTCAGTGCACAGAGAAAAACTGAAAAACATTAATTCCTTTATTGTAAAGGTATAGAATTTTACTTCCTCTTCTGTTTTTACTTCCAAACCACTCATTCTCTCTCTCTTCTCTGCTCCATTTTAATTTTGCTTTACCCACAGCACCTATGTGCTATGAAGAAGGCCCTTTTACTGGGGGTGTTGCTGCAAAGTAGCTATCCCTGGGGCTGAGGATATAGCTCAGTGGCATAAGCGCCTGCCTGGCAAGCGCAAGATTGTGAGTTCGATCCCCAGTACCGCAAAAAAAAAAAAAAAAAGCTATCCCTCGGCCCTGGTCCAGCTCCAGTGTTCCCTTCCCTCCTTACCACAGAACCCAAACGTTTCTGAGGCTTGAGGCAGAAAGGCCTCCCAGAGCTCAGATCCAAGCCCAACATGCAGCCTGTGTTGAGTTGCTGCTTCTGCTACTGATCTGGGGAGCCCTGATTTTTGGGGACCCCTTTTTATTTTTTTGTTGTCTGTTTGAGAAAAGGTCTTGCTGTGAAGTCCAGGTTGGCCTCAAACTTGCTCTGTAGCCCAGGCTACCCTCAAACTTGTGGCAATCCTCCTGCCTCAGCCTCCTGAGTGCTGGAATTACAGGTGTGCACCACCCTTTGACACCTTTCTAAGAGCTGACCAACAGCCCTTGAATGCCTGGCCTATTAACTTGCTTGCAACTCAATTTGCTCTATTGTCTGAACTCTGCCCTCCCCCCTCCAACCTAGACTGGCCTCACTCACTTGCCCCCAGGTGTTTCCTTCTAGATCCTCTGCACCAGAGGATCTAGATGTGAATTCTGCGCCTGGCTGTGGCCTCTGACTCCCATACCTTGCCCCCAGGACCTCGGAGGCCTCCTGCTCTACAGACCAGGCCTGGCATTTGCTCTCTGCAGTCTGCATCAGGCACTGCCTAGTGGGCTACAGCTTCTCTGCTCCAACCTCTCCACCCCATGCAGACCTCATTCTTTCCTCACCCTGCAGCTGCTGCAGTTGGCCTTTCTCTGCCCTGAGACCAGTGAGCTTGGGACCTGTTACACTGGAGTTTTTTCAGAACCAGATAAAAAGCACATATAATATATAATACAAGCAGGGTGTGGTGGCACATGCCTGTAATCCCAGCACTCAGGAGGCTGAGGCAGGAGGATCATTGTGAGTTCAAGCCAGCTTGGGCTACAAAGGGAGCTCAAGGCCAGCCTGAACTGCATAGCAAGCCCCTACCTCAAAAAGACAAAAAAAATTAAAAATTTTTAAAAATTAAAAAAATATATATATAATACATATGTTTATACACATACTATATACAGTACTGAGTATATGTAATGCCTACTTATATATAAAATATGAAATCTTATGTATATAAAATACTGATGCAGTGCCTGCCTGGCAAGCATGAGGCCCTGAATTTAATTCCTGGTACCCAAAAAATAAATAAAATAAAGTACTGAGTATATTATATATAGTTTTTATCTGGTTAAAAAATAAAGCTGGGCATGGTGGCACACATCTATAACCCCTGCACTTGGGAGGCTGAGGCAGGAGAATTGCTGTGAGTTCAAGGACAACCTGTTCTACATGGTAAGAGCCTATCTTAAAAAAAAAAAAAAATTTAAAATTTAAAAATAAAAATCAATAATCCTGGGAGCAGGGCATGGTGGCACAATGCCTGTTATCCCAGCACTATGAGAGGCTGAGGTGGGAAGATCAAAGCAACATAGCAATTTAGTGTCTCAAAATGAAAGTTTTTAAAGGCTCAGCATATAGCTGAGTGAAGGTCCTCAGTTCAATCCCCAATACCACAAATGATAATAATAACAATCTGGGCTGTGGGTGTATCTTGGTGGTAGAGCACCTGCCTAGCACCCATAAAGTCCTTGACTCATTCTGCAGCCCCAAAAATAAATAAGTAATCCAAATGTAATGAGTCTATTTGAAAAAAACCCTAACATCTATTCTTTTTTGGTCATTTGGGGTTTTTTATTTGTTTTTTGAAACAAGGTCTCGCTATATAGT